GGAGTTGAGCAACTCCACAACTACCCAACTCTGATTTTACGGCAGTTGAATGACACCATATTCGATGAATTAATGCTAGAATAGCAATGAATACGTCTTAATCGGCTCACAATTCCAACTCATCCCATTCTGTCACAGCTTGAAGTAGTTGGTGGCTACACGTGCGATTTACGTGACTGAGAATATTTCATTCTATGAGTATCGCAATAGGGTAACAGCATATATCAGTAAGACTATGAGTATAAACGCATCTATTATATTATATGAGATGAATGTTCAAAACACTACGGGAATTCTGCTCTGGTTGACAGCTTCATTTCAACAGATGCAGCAGCTCATTATAACCCTCCTTCACAGCAATCTGCAAAGGCGTCATGCCTTCCTTGTTCTCTATATTTCTGTCAGCACTATTGTCAGTCAACACCTTGACCATCCCAGCAGCTCGTTGTCTAACTGCTTCGTGCAGGCAACTGTTTCCTAAATGATTTACAATATCAATTCTAGCTCCAAGCTCCAACAATGTATCCACCACCAGTGTAGCTTTCATAGTAATTGCCATATGTAACGGAGTATTTCCATCTGGATCGGCATCGTCGAGATTGGCTTTATAAAACCGTAAGAGACGGACCATGTCTGACTTTCCACGATCTCCAATCATCGGACCATATGCTGCAATATGCATGCACGTCTTTCCATTAGCCACCCGTACATTGTTATTAGCACCCGCTGCTAGTAATGTCCTCGCTGCATTAAGTCTGCCGTAAAATACAGCATTGACTAGAGCAGTACCTCCAATTAGATCTGGGACTAGTTGTCGGACACTGGTACCTTCGATGTCAGCACCATTGTCTAGCAAGGTGCGCGTCCATTCGGACTGATCCCAAATAGCAGCATATATCAGTGGTGTCGATGTGCAACGGTACCAAACTCCGCCCCTTTTCATTTCAAGACGGAATCCACTTCCATTGATTTGGTCCTTATCAAGCAGGGTAGCAGCAGCTTCTGCACATGCGTACCAGCAGGCACCTGTAAACGGCGGAATGTTTGGTGCTCGACAGACTTCCAATTCTAAATCCGGAGCATTCCATCCAAGCTGAAGGTCTGCTCCGACATGTATCAAATAGACGACCATGTTCTGGACTCCATAGCATGCAGCTGCAAATATTGCGGTGCCAAAGTATTTACTCTGATAGTTTACGTTGGCTCCTTTTGCTATGAGTAATTGAGCAACCTCTACAGAGCCTCCCATAGCTGCATACAGGAGAGGATGAATCTTATCATGCCCTATTGCTGAGGGACTGACTCCTGTATCCAGCATCCACCTAACTATTTCGATATGTCCCTTCTCACAAGCCAAATCAATGGGCCTTACAAAGGCATTTTGGAAATAAGGGCCTTTACTATCTTCACCTTCTGCGTCTATTTTTGCCCCGGCTTCCATCAACGCCTTGACAGTGGTCAGCGAGCCATAGGCACAAGCATGGTGCAGTGGACTTCGACTTTGGTCGTCTGTTATATTTGGATCTGCTCCAATGCCCAGTAAGTATATGGCGACATCAACCGATCCATACTGACAGGCGACAAGCAGCAGATTCTTGTTACTGCAGTCAGGATACTGTTGATTTATGTTCATCGACGGATTGGCATTGAGCAGCTCTTTCAAGCGGTTGACATCTGCCAGCCTTGCAGAATTCATAGCGTCGTTCTAAATACAGTAATACTCAAATCTTATGGTTTGAGACGATTCTAAATGCCAGTCCTTACCATACGCGATTCGTCTCGTTTCCGTTTTCGACGTATGCGTTCTTGAAGAATCAGCCGCAATGGTAGACCTGAACAAACTGCGTCGGATTTCAGTCCAATCCCAGTCACCAGGTCAATATCGGCGTTATGACGAAGCACCACTTTGACCATGTCTACTGTCTTGTTCGTGAAGGACGACACAAATAAGGGAGTCTGCCAAAAGAAATCATTACTGCGGCAATCTACATCAGCCCCTCCATATTCCAACAATGCATCACCGACTTCAGCGTTTCCCGATATTGCAGCCTCTAATAGTATTGGAGATTTGAAAAAGTTTAGTTCTTCAGCGGCCTTCAATAAGTTTGGACCTCCACCGACTCTCAGGATATGTTTGAGAGCGACTGGCAAGTTCTTTAGCACCGCTACTATAAGCATGGCTCGACCATATGATCGAAGAGTTTGGGTAAGGATCTCTGTCAACTCACTGTCCATCTGCTCCACGGAATTTAAGTGATCGCCCCAGTGGTTCAGGGAGTATCTTATATACGTAGGGGTGTCAGAGGGTGCAATACCTCTCAGACGTTCGATCTGCACCTGAATGATTTTCAGATCCAAATCAGCTGGTAGACATACAAGACATACTCTAGCCAAATGCGCTTCTGCTAACTGTCGGTTGATATAGAATGGCAAGGCGTCGCCTATACATCGGTCGGAGGAAGTGATAAAGTCGGCAACAGATTTATGCATGAGCTGGACTGATGATTTGGATATTACGAGTACCGACTCAACACGAGTCAAATTGATTTTGATCGTTGTTGAAGGCATACGTACTAGAGATGATATATCTTCTACGGACATTGGTGTCCGGAGAGCTACAAGCACTCCTAGTAACCTATTACATAATTGTTTTGCTGACTCGAGAGCTCCTTTGAAACTAGCCACCAGAGCTCTGGTATATAAAGTGTCCATGCGATCTTCATCATTGCCGAGAGACCGTTGCTCTAGTTCGACGATAGTTTGGGTTGGATCGTCAGAGGTATCCATTGCATCGCAAGCCAGGTAGAGCCATACGAAAAGTCCATGAGCCATTACGGATAGCTTATCGGCGAGTGTATCTACTATTTCGTCGGAGTCCAAGATCGACCGTAGGTGTTTCAGTCGATAAAATGCGTACAGCTTTATATCGTTCAAATTATCCGCGGCTTCCAGTGTCATCATTCGTGGTTTATAGTTCGACAGCTGCTTTCGTAGATCTTGCAGTGGGCGACTGGTAATAAACAGTACAATATTGTTGGGAAGACGGGCGAAGTGCCTACCAAGAGCCTCGAGAAAGTCTTTCCGCAAAGTACTACCCTCTTCAGCACATTCATCCAGAGCATCTAGCAGCATAACGGCTTTACCACCACGATAGCTCGATAAGGGCCTCACTATGAGTTGTTCAAATTGAAGACCGATGGATGGCGTGTTCACGAAAAAGTTGGGTTCAGATTCACGCAAATCCCTTAAAGTCCTCCTAACATCAGCATCGAAGGCAGCCAACTGGAATGCCCATGTCGATATTACACGGAATGGATCATTACGAGCAAGCTCGTCATGCTTGCAAAAGAAGTGTGCCGCCAATTGATTCCGGTTCTCTAGCGCATCTGCAAAGCAACCAGCTATGACGGATTTGCCTACACCTGCTACGCCAGATAGCCAATAGACACTAGATTGACCATTCCCTACAATCCATTCATTCAGTTCATCCAAGAGCCAGCCTCTAGTTGACTTGAGCCTCTTTTCCTTCAGAGTAAACATGGTGAGTCTAAAGTCTGGAGGATTCAACCAAGTCTTCAAGTCCGACAACTCGTCATTTCGAATATTAGACTCTGTTCGGGCGATCTGAGTATTGCTATGCATAGAAGCAAGGTCCTTTAACTGAGGATCAGTGAGATGTTGTATTTCTCGTATTTCTTCTAGAGCTGCCATTGGGACCATTCCAGATCGACCACTACTTTGAGAGTATCCATGACTCCAGCCTTGATAGAAGAATGTTACTCGAGAGGTTGGATACCAATTCTATGTCTGCTGACACATACCGTCAACAAAGGACTCAGTAACGACGACCAGGTCTCCCAAGTTTAGGGCCAGTTCATCCGGCTCCAGAGGCGTATAAGCGAGTACCACACGATACTGCGTAAGTACTGGTGAAGAAGCAGAATACGAAGGCTAGATCAACGGGCCGTTAGTAATTGTTGCAATGACAACGTGAGGCCGGATGCCAGAGCTTACAGGATGTACCATGTCAGTTCGAGCTGGTTCTGGTTTAAGCTGATCTTGCTCGTTAAAGGTAGACAGAGCAGATAGATCCGGACTGACAGCCGTTTGGCTGCTATTGCCGCTTCCATTATTTTCATTATTGGCAGCACCATAAGAAACACGTTCAATGTTCGGATCTTCCAGTCCTACAGGGACGTTCGTGACGAACTAAGTAGATCTCGAGTTAGAATGATTGCATTTTTCAGGTATGTTCATCGCTTACCAGGGGATCTTGTGGTTGATTGTTTGGTCTTTGTCTACGAAAGACCGAGCTAAATCGGCTCTTCAAGTCCATATTGATGTCTTTTTGGAGCCACAGAAGCTCTTAGATGACCATCTAAGAGCTTTTGAAGCTCAATTTTGCGACACCTTATCTAATCGATGCTAATTTTCTGACAGTTGATCAGGGTTTTTGCTGTTTTTTTGGGTGGCTAGTGGCTGCAAGATACGCAGATGAGAGATTGCGTATTTCGGGCCTAACACTTTTGACCTTCAGGTAGGATTGGAACTTAATTGAAACGACATTATTGAGCCTATTTCCTCTACACCTTCGATCCGCATTGATTGCATCACACGTCTTACAACAGAAAGGCTACTCGAAGGATCTCTTTCGCAACAATCACCCAAAGGAAACGTAGCATCGTCAAGCACTTTTGTATCTCGTGGGTAATCTAAGGACCGTAGGAACTATGGATCTGTGTGATGGGGTTCGTTTGTGCTCCAGCAAAAGTCAACGGAATCTCAACCTGTTAAACAGAGCCACAACTTTTGCTATCTAACAGTGAACTGCCAATCTTAGCTGACTTCGAGCTATTGATCCTTCTCCTCGCTTTCGTAACATGAGCCAGTGGCATGCTGTAGCACTCAATTTCGAAACTGAAATCAGGCATGTTCGTTCCCGCCGTACTTTGTGATGCAGGGTTGTACGATATGTCACGAATATGCCTTTGGTGGAGGTGGATAAAGCTTATCACCAGAGGTGCAGCCGTGAGAGTGTGTGAACAACCAGCACACCACATTGTTGTTTAGTTTTTCAGCCAAACCAACACTCACGATTTGCCACCGGTTATCTCCTCCTTACTACGAAACGAAATGTGTCAGCCAATTACTGGGTCGCTGTTTGCACTGATCTTACTCGTTGGCGTATGCTATGGAGGATTCGAAGAAATCAAGAAACAAGCAGCTACAGAAGGAAACGCTCCAATAACTTCTTCCACGACTGACCTCAAATACGGTTTGAAATTAGGCGATGTAAGAAGGGCTTCTGTTTCATTCAATCTAGTCACTCGCACTCATCTCTTTTTTTAATAGGTACTCACTTATAACCTTGTTGCCAGAGTTGGTTTTGTCGCTTATACTTCATCCGGTGGTCTTGTCGAGAAATTGCAACAATCTGGCAACGTCAATCAGTGGGCTACTCTAAGTCATTCTGGCACAAGTTTCATGGTTTCATTGTTTGGTAACAATGATGTATGGATTGTACTTTCTGCAGCCACTGGAGATCTGAAAGTGTCGGGTTCTGTCAGCCTTGATCAAAATGGAATGGTAAGAAGTGTGTTGTGCAGTACATTGGGAGATTCGCCAGAACCGTAACTCAATCGACTATTCGTAGGCCTTTGCTACAGACTATGTTGCTGGAGAGACTTACCCTGTCCGCCAAAGTACATTGTTTGCGAAAGCCTTGAATCCACCTTTCAAAGTGGCAAGTCAAATGTATTCGTTATTAGGTTTAAAATGCACTTGTTGAATAACACTCTTTGCGTCTTTCAAGGTGATAGGAACTTTGGTCGGAGACCTCGACATTCCTGTGGAACCAAAATCAGGAGCTTCGCGGTATGGAGTCTATGATATTATTGCTAATGGTCAAGGGACGTGGTCTCCTGTGGAGCAAACCTCCCGGTCTGCCTCCATGAAAAGTGACTCCTTTTCCTTGAGTGACTCCTTTGGTAGCGTAAGTTCTAGTGTGTGGAGCCTTTGGAACGCTAATCTGACTTTGCACCATCTTTATGATCAAAACAGGAGATTGGCAGCCCCATTGCAACTGAAATGAGTGTAGAATCTACGGCCCAAGTCGCCTCTGTTGGTGTCATGCTAGCAATCTTCAATATCCTGAAACGATCTCTGGCATCTGTAGATGCATTAGTCAGGTTTGTTGTTGCAAGGACCGTGCTGGCCTTCGTATTGGTAGGCCTTTCAAAAGTAACTTGACTTGCATCCAGTATGTGCTACTTCAGTGCTGAATTTTTCGTTCTTTAGGTCGTACCCAAGAATCTCAAGTTGCCTCCTCTCAGACTAATCCGTCCTCCGGCATTTGCTGCCGGCGAATATGGCTTCCGTGGTAATACCCGATCTCGCCTTGATGTTGGTATTGGTGTAGTACATCGTGGGGTAAACTACAGACGGCCTGGAACTGCTCGAAAGCCAATGCCAGGATCGTTTAAGCCAAATGTGCTTTGAAAGTTTTGTAGAAAGTCTCCGTGTGCCTTTTCACTTTTGTCGATGAATATTTTTACCTTGAATACCATTTCGTCCAATACCCTTCAATTCTTTGATTCGGTAAAGCTTGGTGCTTTCAAGTCTCTATGTTGGAACTATTGGTGCGGATGCCTGCCTAAATACACCGCGGACAAGCTGGCAAAACAGTTTTGATGTACACACCGTACTACACCGCACCATGCTGCTTGTGATATAAATCGTTCGTGAGGGCAAGGCAAGTACACCTCTGCGATCTTGAAAACATGTCATTGTCAAGAGCGAGGTGCTTGTGCTGCTCGCACCTATACTCATCGCATCCGGAGTCGTGGCTTGAACAGCTTCAGCAGCACCATTCCCCGTCGATCTCTTTCCCTCATCTGCTCAACTAGAGAAAGTGAGCCATTGTTCCGTCTAAAGCTTTGGAACGACAAAAATTTGCCGACAATATTTCACGCACTAACGATTTCTTCCTCTCAAACTTTAGTCGTTTCCTTTTAATCTAAAATCAACTTTTGGACTTTTGGTGCTTCAAGATACTGCTGCTGTGGTAACTCAAGTCTCTAGACCAGAAACAGAAGCAGATTGGGCACCAATCAAAAGTCTCGGGGGTAAACATTTATGGTCGGAACTGATAGCACCAGTGCCAAATGGGTTATGCTTAATGTTAATAAAGACAACGGTGACATGGTGATTTCTAGTCTGTTGGCTTTGGAGGACGGAATGGTGAGGTTGGTGAGGTTTATGTGGTTACTCCTGTACTCATCTTAAATCCAGTATCGACGTAGGCCACACTTCACAGTATTTATTGGGAAAGCGATATTCAAATCAAAGAAACTGCTTAAATTTTCAAGCAAGCCATGACTCCTTCCTTCACAGTAGTAAGTAGTTTTTTTGAATAGTGTGGACATCTTTTAAATGAATGTAGTTCTAAGGACCTTTGTAAATTGTAGGCAAAAGGCGCTCTTATTGGAAGTCTCATTGTGCCCGTTCTTCTTTCCCCAATGCTAATTTGTTCGATATGAAATCTGATGGGAATGGTGGTTGGGAGGCCATCAATGCACCACCAATTACGAAAGCTGCTACTGCTGATACGGATTTATGTCGAGCTGATTCGGTTGCGGTAGCTAAAATGGTATGTCTTTACTCAAGTCTTTCAGTTTTTCAACCTCCATAGAAGCACACAAGCCCAACTGCGGAACTGGGAGTATTCACGTCAATTGCTTCCTCCTACTCCATTTTTTGAGTCAGCAAGCAATTGGATCAACCTTGAAGCCCGGATATGAAGCTGTCGTGCTTCATGCTGTAGTCTTGCTAGCCCTCCTTGTGACAGACTTCGTGAGACCACTCATGTTGGTTGCAGGTGGTGCTGTTATGTTTGTATCTGCTGTATCCAAGCTGGCTGTCAATTATGTAGGTGGTTGTTTGTGTGTTTGAGTTTTAGATTCTCACATTTCGGTTTTCTTTACTAGATCGGAACGACCATCAGGGCTGTCACTACTAGATCCCTTGTTCTAGCGCTGCCTCGTCCACCTGGTGCCGCCTCTGCCCCATATGTTGCATCCGCGTAGAAAACTATATACCGATACGTTGGTGGTCTCCCTGTTGAACCAAAAGTGAAGGTACCAAAAGCTCTTGTCGTCAGGCCTATTGGAACAACTTTAATTCAAGATATATTTGCATCTGTCTGTTTGCAGATCAGTTAAATTTTCACAAGCTTGGCCCCCTTCATCGTGAATTTCTGTGTGTACTTTTACGAACGTATTTTCTGTCGTTGATTTCAATATCTTGATTCTGAACGGAAGCTCATTTGTCTTGACGAACCATATTGTTATCTTTTGTGAATGAATCTTTCGCCCAAACACCATTTCATCAATTTGATTTTTGATTCTTCGGACCGTTGTGATTTTGTTGGTACGGAGCCTGTTGTAGCAGTACAGTCTTGTCGCCTGATTTGTTGCATGCCTTCCAGATCGGGTCAACCTTTTGTCAATGTTGTTTGATATGCACCCAAACACCAAAGTTGTTTGTAGCTCCAATCTTTTGAATCAGGCAGGGTACCAGTGTTTTCGAATAAAGAACGTAATGCCAATGCTGTCGCTCAAGAAACAGACTTTGGTGCTGTTTGCACTCACATTAATAATCAGAGTCATTCCAGGAGTAATCGTGGCTGCAGCAGAGACGGATGGAAATCCTCCAGTTGTACCATCTTCAAACGACCCCTTTCCAGCGTGGGCTCAACCAGGAAAAGTAAGTAGCCCTGTCGTCAAATAAATCTGACATCAACCAAGGCTTACCGACACACCAACATTACCTCGTTGATTTAGATATTTCCCCTTGATTTGATGGGTACCTTTCGCTTCACCGCAATGATGGACAAGAGCGGTCAAGTGACTTTAGTGTCCAGATTACAAACAGTACCACAATGGCATGAATTTACCACTGCAGCCCGTGGCAGGAGCTTCCTAGTCTCAATCGGCAACTCCAATAACAAATGGGTTGAAGTTGTTGTCAACGAAAACAGTGATAAAATCGTTGTCTCTGGCTTGATTACGCTCAATAACGGAGAGGTATATTCAAAACAACATTAGAATTGTTCTCCTTGCTGGCAAATAAAATACGACATGACACTAAAGTTGACGCTTTTCTAGGCCACCATTCAAAGTAAAGGTTTACCTTTTCGTATCAACGAGGCTACACTCTTCAAGAAAGCACTGACTCCCTCGTTCGACGTTGTATGTGATTCCCTTTAACTTTCTTTTCAAAATAAAATTCTTATATACTGCTTAAATTAGAGGAAAGGGGCTAAAATTGGAAGTCTCG